GGGAAGAATCAGATTTGTTGTGTGTTTCCTTGACTGATGAAGCCTTCTGGATCAAAGGCGAAATGTTTCAGCACAAAAAAGAAACTGCCAGATGACCTGCCATAAAAATATTAGATTGTATACCTGGATTTATGTGCATGGACTTTGTTGTTTTCAACAAGTTTGACAAGACTGTCAACAAAGAAGAGCGCCGGCAAAGGAGGAGGTGGCGTACCAAAGAGACCATCTTATCACCAGAAGAACTGGTTTGTTCTACTTTGGAGTAATCTGTTGGGGGAAGAATCAGATTTGTTGTGTGTTTCCTTGCCTGACGAAGCCTTCTGGATCAAAGGCGAAACGTTTCAGCACAAAAAAAAAAAAAAAAACAGTCCAGATGACCGGACTGAGAAGTGTTGGATTGTATACTTGGATTTATGAGCATGGACTTTGTTGTTGCCAACCAGTTTGACAAGACTGTCAACAAGGAAGAAGGCCGGCAATGGAGGAGGGGGGGTACCAAAGAGACCATCTTATCTCAAGCAGAACTGGTTTGTTCCACTTTGTTCCACTTTGGAGTAAGCTGTTGGGGGAAAAATCAGATTTGTTGTGTGTTTCCTTGACTGATGAAGCCTTCCGGATCAAAGGTGAAATGTTTCAGCACAAAAAAGAAACTGTCCAGATGACCTTCCATAAAAATGTTGGATTGTATACCTGGATTTATGAGCATGGACTTTGGTGTTTTCAACCAGTTTGACAATACTATTAACAAGGAAAAGGGCCGGCAATGGAGGAGGGGGCGTACCAAAGAGCCCATCTTATCTCAAGCAGAACTGGTTTGCTCCACTTTGGAGTAAGCTGTTGGGGGAAAAATCAGATTTGTTGAGTGTTTCCTTGACTGATGAAGCCTTCCTGATCAAAGGCTAAATGTTTCAGCACAAAAAAGAAACTGTCCAGATGACCTGCCAAAAAAATGTTGGATTGTATACCTGTATTTATGAGCATGGACTTTGTTGTTTTCAACCATTTTGACAAGACTGTCAACAAGGAAGAGGGCCGGC